CGTAACTAAATGTGACAGACTGAGAGAAGCAGTTTATTAAGACACCAACCCCAAGTTTATTTAGTTCATAAACTCTCTCCTAGAAAATCAATACAGTCTGTACAGGGTTATTAGGCTGACTAGCTAATACATCCAAATCTGGTCTGCCCGGCAAGCAGTCTTCTGACAAAATGCTACCTAGCATAGGCAAACTGAGCTTTTTCAGATATCAAGGTCTGAGGTTGCCCTAGATGAAACAGGTCTGCAACGTAACTAGTATCTGCATGTTACTGCCAAGGCACAAGCCTCAGAAGCACCAGGATATCTTCCTAAGGTTTAGAACATTTTTTTTCTCACTAAATCTAGCATATGAGACTGCACCTGCTAAATGAATTTGATCAAACAAAAATTTTAACTAGTTTGAAAGACTAGTTAGCAAACAGCAAAAGCTTTATTACAATAAGATTAAAAAAACCCAAAGACTTAACAATAAATGAGTTAACCAAAAAAAACCCTCAAGGATGTAAACATGTGCTTTGCAGATCGTTAAGTTTTGAACATTCATTTTAAATCGTTTTGGAAATACAAATTTGATTCCTCTAGTAATTCCCAAAATGCATGACTTGAACTTGCCACTCACTTCCACATAAAAACATAGCATAATATGTACAGTTCTTGATCCTGTGATAATTTTCTGTTTAACATGCAGGACACCTATGTAATTTTAAGGATGCATACACAAAAAATGTACCTGCAAGAGACAGAGATACCTTTGAGTCTGTCCACTGGCTATATATTCTGCAGGTTATGTGACAATTATCAAGAATCATATTTTAAACTTTTTCAAAACTAGAAGTGGAGGCAGGAATCACTTCCACAATAATTGCTTTTTTGTTGTTTGATTCAGTGTATTTCAGGTTAAAGAATCACAAATACAACAGTCCATGTGTTGGCTTTCCCACATTAACTGATAGTGAAAGATGGATCATGGAAATTAAGAAGTATACCAAGTAGCTCTAAATGGTACCCAAGTTATTAAAGACATTATGGGAATGTGAATACCTCCATCTCACCACAACACATAGCAGAAATACACTTACACAAAGAAAAAAACTCAAATGCAGTTTATGATGTTAGAAGAGATTGTATAACAAGGAGAAAAGAAAGACAACAGCTTTTGGAAATGAATCTCATGTTTATAATGCCTTAACCTTTAAAATATTCCAAGGACTCCCACTGGCCCCTAACATGACTTCTGTGTACTGATGCTGAGATACTAAATCATAAACCTCAAAAAAATTATTTTCACAGAATTTAATAAAATCCCATTTATAGTCTGCTGTAAATAAACATTTTCCAGCTAACTTTTGAGCTGGTACATTTAAGCATTTCATAGCTTGTGATTTTAAGTAATCTATAAAAAAGTTAAATATATATATTCTGAACCTACTTTAGAATGCCAATGTTTTAGACAGTAATTAAAAGTTGTAATTATAGAAAAAAAAATTTAAACCTTTTTGCACGTAACTACATACTGTGCATGCACCCTCGATGAGATCCAATTAGTTGCAAAGAATTTGCATTTCAGTTAGTGTGGGATAACAAGACTACAGGGAGGCACAATGCAATTCCACCAGTAGAGTAAGAAAGTGTATTCTTTATTGTTAGCTCTGTAGCAATAATTCCCACAACTGATTGATTGTTTAAAATATTACTGATCTTTTCAATATTAGGGTATGGGGTGGGTTGAGGTTTTTCCTTCCTAAAAAAGGGGGGCGGAAAAAAAATCACATGATGTAACTATCAACCACAATGATTACCTGCAGAAACAAATGAACTAAGGATTTTATTTTTCATGTATGTTTGTGGAGTGTTTTTTTTTTGGAGGGTGGATATTGTATGCCTGTTCTATTCTTCTTAATACTCATTAATATATTTCTATAAAACATATTGCTTTATTAAAATAAGTTCCGTAACTAGGGGTAGGGGAACCTCACAGAGACAGTTCTATGTAAATGTATATGGTTTTGTGATAAAGGGATGCATTTAGTACACTCAGAAACTACTGAAGACTTTCATTTCTTCTAGCTATGTTTCCAATAATGTAAATCCTAAGCAAATATCAAATAAATGTATAATGTATACACACAGTATAACAAGCATCTCTAAGACTTCTGCAGGTTCAAGGAACAATACCTATAATTCCCTGGGTTCAGTTCAGCAGCTGTTAACAGATTCTGTAATCTGTAATGACAGTAAACTGGCCTTTGCGCCTCTTTTTTTTTTTTTCACCATTCATTTTCAAGGCTTGGTTAAGTACAGAGCTGGGTTAAAGATCAGTGGTTTTTCATGTGACACACGCTGGTATTCATCTAATGGCTTGTCAAGACAAAACTGTCCCTGTTCTTGCCAAAATAATAAAAATGACGGTCCACATCACATGACAATCAGTACTTCCTTATAGCAAAACAACTCCAGCTTTTATAATTCATTTATTTTAGAGAAAAAAGTTTTAATAACA